GTCGTCCATGCGCGAAATCATCATCGCGATTATTTTCAACTAGAGACCTTGAAGAGTTGCAACATTTCGTGGGAAAACGTGAATCGAAATCGCGAGTGTTTTACGCGTAAACATCAAATTGTTCTTTTTCTTAAATATAAAGACATAAAAACTTATTTTTAATAATACTTCTATTAATCTGTATTTAAAAAACATTTTTATCGTATGTTATTAAATTTTATTTGAGATTAATTTAATAATTTTACTTATCAATTTGCATTAAAAATAAAATTGCACGATAATGCATTATAATTACAACTGATTTATATGTGTGCGTGCGTATATTTACTCAATTTTATAAGTATGTTTTTGCTAGACTTAGTTTCAAAGAATGAAATATGGTCTGCAGGAGAGAGTGGTAGATAAGGAATTGAAATCGACAGCCAAGGGTTAAAGCGATGCGTAGTCAGGCAGGATGACATTATCGTGATTATGAGACTGTTTTTCCCCGAGAATCGCTGACGGAAGCGATATATTGAAGTCAAGGTCGAACTCGTCGAAACAGTTAGCGGTTTTAAGTCGGTCAGGTCTCGACACCAAGTCAGAGTTAAAGTTCAATCCGGATGAAACTGAACGCACGGCTAATCGATCAGAATCAAAGTTGGAAAATATCGTACTTTATCCTGCGAAATATTCTACCTTATAATGTGCTGAATACACGCATAATATATTTGTATTAATTCATATAAATAATGCAAACGTGATGGATTAATGCAAGACTTAATTTATAAATTTATAATGTTTGCAATATTGATACAGTTTTTCACTTTTTAATTTTTAAAAACCCACAGGATTTACTGCTTTTGAAAACTACTTAAGAAATCAAGGGATTTACTACTTTCTGGAAATTATAAAAAATCAATTTCTGCAAAAAAAAATTAAATAATATATTATTAACGTTAGATTTTTATTTGAACTAAAAAATATTCTGTTTATGATATGATATGAATAAAATTAATTCTTAAAATATAAATAAAATTAATATATAAAAAATAAAAAATTATACCAAGCAAATTATAATTAATATCTTTAGTTTTACATTAAAATTATGATAAATGATTTTGCGCGACTCACTCGACTCACTCACTCGTATATATTTTTCGAAAAATGTTTTTTACATGATAATTTATCATTATTTTCTTTATTTTACATATGCATATTTATGTATACTCATATATTGTGTTTGAAATGTGTGTTACGTTTCTTTACGTGGGTTGCAATCTTAGCACAAGTATGCCACATGTGTTGCATTCAAACAAGCAATTGGGCTCCGCGGAATGTTGGTGAGAGTTGTCGATGGTCAAACATTTGTATAAACGATTGACTTGTATGTACAATAATGGTTTCATCCGAGAAAATCAACAATACTTGACAAATAAAAAACAACATTTTCTTTAGTTCAGTCTGGATATATTTAGCACGTCTAATAACAAGTCAATACGCGGCATTTTCCATGTTTCTTTAAATAAAAACATCGCGATACGTATATCTTTTAAATAGAATTAAAATTTTATTTGATAATTATATGATAAAAAATATATTTTAAACATTTCTATATCGTGTATAATAGATTTAAATATAATAATTATTTAAAAATATTTTGATTTTTGGAAATTTGTATATTTTTATAATATTGTTATATAAGTAAAAACTATCTCTCTTTCTCCCTCTCTTTAATTACATATCAATTTTTAATAAGAGTAGATATATTTAAAGCAAAATAATATCGAGTATCTAATTGGTTTCCTGCTCCGACTTAACTAAAGTCCCCGCAAAATTAAATTAGTCGCTCTAGAAACTTCAAAGAGAAGCTTGAGTCATCTAATAATTGTCACGATCATTGCATTGAAGATTACTTAGCCTTCTTCGGATGTGAAAAACGTGTTAATCGCTTTAAGTGGACCTAATACCCGGATCGGGGCTAAGTTTTCTATCGAGGCCTATAATGGCTATCCTCGTTTATGCTTCATTCGGTTGATCTCGCTCCGGCAATCTCAGTTACAAGACATTTCTCCGGATGATGTTGAGTTTGAAATATATCTTCGCGCGAATAGAATGATTGCCCCAATTGGAGATAAGATACAAGGTGTGCAAGAGCTATGTGTGCGTTCCAGTTATACTCGCTCGAATCGATCTTCTCACGTCTCGTCGTGAGAAAGGCGGATATCCATTTCTGCTTCACGGAACGAGAGGAATCTCTTTTCCTTTCTGCAACTAACGCTCCTTCCATCTCACAACGCGATTCTTTTCGCATGTCGGAATCGCGAAAGTATCCCGATATCGCGCTACGCGTCATCGCGGTTTCTCTACAAAAATATAACACGCGATAAACGATAACATTTTATCGAAACATCAAATTAAACTATTTTTATTCGAAATTATAATATAATTTTTAGATAAAATATCTCTTGCATATTATTGTTCTATATTTTTTCTCCGTATTATATCAGATTTATTTTTCAGATTACAACAAAATAGTACATTCTGCAGTTTTTTAAAAAATTATAGAAGTGAATATACTTTTAATTATAAGATCAATCGAATATATACATATCTATTTCTCGAGAGATTTCACGTGAGAGGAATTCTAAAGCTCTATTCCGTTCTAAAGGAATGTCAAAGCTCTATTCGATAACCATATATGATCCGACTTTGATTTTTCCTGCACATTTTCCTTCGCCTACCTTCTGATTACATTCCGCGACGCGCCTCGTTAGACTTGACACGTATTACTTTGCATTCCATGTAAGAGCATCTTGGAGCAAAACGCGATTCGTCGGAGCGGATAAACCGACCTGGCGATTTCCAAATTGGAACACTATGCTTTTCCAATTTGATGCTGAAGCATTTTTGGAAAGTGGAAAATTTATCCGTCTTGTAAAAATGAAACATGGAGCGTCTGAGTGTCTAAGATACATTAAATGTAATCATATCTCAAGTATTGTTAAATGTTCCAATTATACCTAATTTGCTTAAATTTTGGAATCAAAAATTGACCGTTAGATTTTTAAGAATTATAATAATTATAATAATTACACATTAAAATTACAATATTTAATGTATTTATATCTTTATATTATATTGATTAATATCTAGGTATTTTCCATACGTTTATGAAAAGTTTTTAATAAAAATCATTCAAGGATAGCATTGTACTTTTGTGTCACTTTTAAAGCCCAATTTACATCAAAACTTGAGCGGTTTAATTATTTAAAAATTGGTCCATATAATTTGACGTTTCTATTGAAAAGAAATCACTTAATCGATGGAAAGCAATTCTGAAATACATCTGATATTTACGCAGCTTTCCACTTTCCGATGCGATAACGAGGCAAAACGACGTCGTTAATTCAGGATGGCCATCTGTCATAAAGGCAAACGACATACGGATACATTTGACGGGACACCGAAGCATTCATGATAAGTCGATATCCATGGAAGCGCGACATGTCAAGGTCTAATGTCAAGCCGTCTCGAGGAGGATAATATATCACTGTTAATTTTCCACACACGGGACGAGTATCGAGCCATCGTTACGGAAGCGTTTCGTCATTAGAGAGTCACCGAGCTGTGCTTCGCGAACCTTGACATTTAAGGTAAAGACAACAAACAAGATAAGGGCACGCGGGAACGAACCGGGGGAAACGTACCATGTGACTGCGAAACTGCGATTGTGATTTAAGAATTGTTGCAATCTCGACTACAAATTGCGCGAAAAATTACGAAACGTTGAAACGCGAAGTAGAAAAGACATTTTATGCAACTGCGTCGAGCGGATGCAATAAAGATACGAATTATGTGTTGTACGAGGTGTGATGCAGAAAGGCACTCGCGTGTATAAATGTCGTTGAAAAGTGACGGCGGAAGTGAAGGTAGAAATCGATCAGCGGAGGTAGTCAAGTGTCAAATTCTTAGTTCAGCTTAACTGCCACTTTATTACGAAGCTATAGGGACACAATTTTTATTGACTAAATTCTCTTCAAATTGTGTTTTCCTTATTTTAGATCCTCCACAAATCGTATCAAAAATTTTTAAAAATGTTTCTATTTATTTTATATACATTGATTAATTAGTTGAGACTGACTTGCATCTTCTTGTTTTCTTTTTCATAGATATTTATAGCGAACGCTGTAAATATTACAAGAGAGCATGCTTATATTTTAAGAGGATTTCAAAATTTTTAATGCTTCAACAATAATTTGGAAATATTTTTGGAGTAGCAGAACTTCTGGAGTTTCTTTTTTGAGCTTTTTTAAAAAATGAAATATATTTTTTGGATATAAAAATAATTGAAAGTAATTTAAAAACCTCTTTTAAAAGACGCAAAGAAATAATTACTACCTTTTCGTCGAAATAAATATTTCTTGCGAATTTGTAACTACTAAATTAAAAACTATATTAAATTTGATTAATAAAGCTGTTAGCACCGAAATATAGAAACGATGGTGAACTAATTCGAGGGCTGTAGTTTCTATCGATCGCGTCTTGAGGCGTCGCACCTCTGCCACGAAAATGCACGGTTCGTGACCGCGTTACGTCAGGAACGGGCTTTCAAATCCAGCCACAATCTTTCTATGCGATGGTAAGAGAGATGGAATAAGAGAAACAGAAAGAGAAAAAAGAGAGAAAGAGAGAGAGCAGAATAAGCTTGGAATATATTTTCATATTTTAGAAGCCACGTCAAAAAAAACTGAATAGAACCACCATGAATATATTACAACAAATATAAAAATGAAAGGAGAAAAGAAGAAGAGGTAAAACGGAATATTTGTATTAGAATGTTTTCGTACCTTAAACAATTTAGTATGAATATCTGCAATAAGTAATCAAAAAGATTATCTGTAAATAAATAACTATAGATAAACTGCGCAGAATTTATGGGAAAGGGGACATTATACGCGAGAATAAAACGAGAGAGAGGGCGATAACAAAAAGAAAGGAGAAAGATACGTGATAATTACCAAGGATTCGTCCCCATTGTCAGCGCTCATAGCCTTCCGCTAGCACTAGAGGACCCCGAACTCGCTCGTCGTCGTCGTCTTCGTCGCCGGATTGCTCGTCGCTCCTCTTCGCGGCTTCGCTTCCGGCAACAGCAACACGAGCTCGTCATTCTGCGTCGAGCTCTGCCTCCCGAACGGGAAGATTCCCGAGGGATTCCGCCTGTGACAGCAGCTCCCGGCCTAATCTGTCATCCGGCATAGCGTCAGGATGATGTTGAGGAAAGTCTTCTCTCTTTTTCTTTTTCTTTTACCGAGTCTTTAAAGAGTATCGGGCGAACCAAGAGCTATTGTGAAAATTGTCATCGGCAATGAGATTTTTTCGGAGCAAAAACACTGAGGAAAAAAAATTTTTTCGGAGCAAAAACAATGAAGAAAAAAAGGCAAAGATATTGAAAGGAAACAGAGGAATGGGGAGATATTTAATGCGAGAGAAATAAATAGAAAAGAGCGATGATTGTGAAAATATTAGTTGAGTGGAGTAACTGTAGTAATAATATTAGCTATAACAATGTAATATGTATTATACAAAAGAAAAAAATATTGGAGATGATGGTTGAATAGCAATTACGGAGTAATTCTTATTATAATCCGGATTATGATTACGTTAGGAAAGAGAAAGACGTGCAAAATTGTGCAATTGGATAAAGATTACAGGGATCTAGGGATATAGGATAATGGCTGGATAGGGATATCCTATGTCAGGAAAGAAAAGGACTAACTAGGGCTATAATATCGATTATATAGTTTCGTTGAAGTCCAGGATTATAGTTTACACTGCATTCGAAAATATCCTCGTGATATTTCGTCTTTCTTCTCGGTATGCTTTCTTCAAGAGAGAAAAGTCCACGAAAGCTGGAGCTTGAGAACGAGATGGAGAATAGCGTTGCGAGCGCGAAGGCGAGAGAGACGAAGAGAGGACACTGACACATGAAACGTCAACGACACCTTCGGGCACGTCGTCGCTCTCCTTTCTCTCTCCCTCTTCTTTCTTCTCTCTTTAACATACCGAATTTCCCTCGAAACTTCACTCACTTCACGACACCAAACAATCCTCAAGATTCCAATTTCACTCCAATACGTTCGTTGAACGATCGTTGTATCGAGGTAGATCGCTCGCAAGCGAGGACGAACAGGCGGCGACGTCTCTCTTTTTCTCTCTCTCTGTCTCTCTTCCTCTTGAACGAGTGCCGTTCCCCGATCAGAACGGTACGGTACGGGGGTTCGGGGATCGGGGGGGTACACCACGGGTCCCTCGCTTCAGCTTACAAAATGAAAAATCAAAGAGGGGGAGACTAGGGCACGCGAGTCGCGACGCGCCAGGAAAATCGCCAGCCAAGAGGAGTCGAGGTTCCCTCGCGAGTCGGACCTCGCTGTGCGACTGTATGGTTAACCGTCGTCACGCTGGAGATGTGCCGGAGGTGTGTGACGAACTTTTTCCCACCAGACGAGACACGGGGTGGGAGAGGGCAGGAGGTAAGTTACGACGGTACCGCCATTTGTTGTAACGGTGGTGGTCCCCTCGCTTTACCGAGGAGAGTGTTTCCAGTGCTGGCTCGATGCACCTCGAAGCCCGATGCTTAAAAGCTAAAATGATGCCCAGGTTTGAAAATGAATCTTCAGAGAAAGCGTCATTCTTTTAATTTATCTCAGCAAGATTTTAATTTAACGAATATATTTACCCGAATCTTTGCTATTCAAATATTTAATATTGAAGCTTATAAGTTGAAATTAATAAAGTAATTAGGATTTTTAAAAATAATTAAAATTCTATTTGATATTGAAAACGAAGTAGCGAGAGGATAATAATTTTAGGCAGAATTTAAATTTATAAATGGAACATATCCTTTATATAATAGAAAACTTAGAAAAGAGTTAATGAAATATAGGAGAAACCCACTTTTTTATAAAAATAATATAAAAATCCAATCTTTCATTTTCACTCTACATTGCTCTTCATATTTTTGTAATTTCTGTATCGCAAATGGCGATGGCTTACCAGCTCGTCGGTTTAGTCATATCCGAGGTTTCGTTCAAGGTTTCATGTTTATGTTGATGCCGTGAAGAGAGAGGGATTTTACGCGCCATGTTTAGAATCGCTATATCGCTTTGCCATTTTCGTTGCTGATTTCTGAAGAGAATAGACTATGACAGCCTTTCTATTTTTGGAATCATTCATTGGGAGAATATAATCTTAAATATGCCACAAAATATTATAAAACATCATTATATGATGATCTCGAAATTCTTTTTCTGTCAAAATTATTCTTTACTTCCGCTTTTGTATCCGAATTTTATTTAATTCGCATTTTTTATTCTATACGAATGATTCTATTTCTATGAATGATTCCTAATATTTAACTTCTACAAATTAATTATGATAAAACTTAATTAATTAAACTTAATTGATAAATATTTAAAAAAATAATGATATGCATTAATAACTATTTCTTTATAAATAATTTGAAAAATTATTTAAAAATAATCTAAAATGAAGAAAATTGATATACTAGAAAAACTATTATAAATTTCCAAAAGGAAATATATGAGATGGATGGAGGAAAAAAAGGATGAAAATTTTTTTTTAAAAAAAGTTAAGGATCTCTGTCAGTTAAAGACAGTAAAACACATAGGTTTTCTTGTCGCGCTTTTAGCATTAAGAGCGGCTGCCCGATTCAAAACTTATCATCACTTTTAAGGATTGTAAATAAAGGGAATTTTTTATTCTACCGAATTAAATTTTTAAATTCACAAATTTTCTGCCTTGAGAGGAAAGATAGTTTGTCTGGATACAGCTTCTAACGCTAAATGCGCGTCAAGAATACGAAGATAAAGACACTTAAACGACAGACATTTAGACGACAGACAGATGGAGACGTTTTTCACAACATTTAATAAAACGCTATCAACTATGTATGCCTCTTTTTTACTCAAATACTCTAAAAGTTACTTACATACGTGTATAATTTTTATATGTTTTATTCTTTTTTTTTTTTCAATACCTTGCGCGCGGACGTGTCACATTTCTTTTTGCATCTTGGACGATACTCCCGCGCTTCGCCGCTTTCGCCCTTTATCTTCTCTCTCTCTCTCTTTCTTCTTTTTTTCGCTATTTTTTCTCTAGCAATTTTTACCTTTCGCTCATTTTTATTAGGCACCGATTACCGATGATGAACACAGTAAGGTATGACAGCGCGATTATGGAGCGAAAAGGAAAAAGGAAATAAAGAAGAAAAGAAGAAAAAGGATGTGTTTCGCGGAAGTTGACACGTCCGGCTTCGAGTGTCCATGTATATATGTATGTATGCACGTGTATGTGTGTGTGTGTGTGTTTGTGTGTGTTTCTGTATATTTATATATTTGTGTGGACGTGTATAAATTTAATACTATCGTCGTATCGTTTACATTCGATTATACATACATATATATATAAATATATAAATATACATATATATGTATGTATGTATTTATATGTATGTATATATAGTACTTCAATTAATCATTGACACAGCGATCAACGTCCCGGGATGCGCTAAAGAGAGGTCCGTTTCTCTCGAAATATCTTCTACGGGATGACTGATTGGTTGGATTGATTGAGGATGATGGGCGTGCAAAAGATAATAGTCGGCGCGGTGATGATGGTGATGATGTTGCGTTGTGCTCTTCGCGAGCTTTTCTCTTTCGACCGATTGGTTTCTTTGCAAGAAGCCGAGCTCAAGTTTCCGAGTTTCTTTCTTTCTCCTCAGCTTCTTTTTCTTTATATTCCTTATATTTCCTTATATTTCTTTTTACTTCGTATTTGTTAAATTTTATCCGTTCACACTTTCGAAAAAACCTTCTTTATTTAGAGAAAAGATCGCGTGATCAAAATTGTATAATTACATAGGCACCATAAAATTAATTACAAATGTTTATATATATATATATATATATATATATATATATATATATATTACATGTACATTTGTAATATTAATTACAATTGTACATGTGATGTGTATTGACAGTTTTAATGAAAAATTTCAAATCTATCGAGCGCCAAATGATAGAAATATAATTATTACATAATTGCTGTGTATATATATATATATAATTATAATTATAGAAAAATTCTTTATAAACAGATTAAACGCGTATAAGACTAACTTACTTTGATTTCTAGAGTAAATGAATTTTTTAGATCTCTTGATCGAATCATGATGATAAAATAATATTATTTACAAAAATAAAGAATTAACAATTATATACATTTTTATGTATACTCTTCATATATGTATTTGTATATATAATGCATATATAATATATATGTATATATTTTCTCTTCCTCTTCTTTTCTTATATTGCATTTAATTATAAATATAAAGAATCGCACGCGTGAAAAAAAATGCGTTTAACTAAGAAAATATTTTTCAGGCGCTCGACGCGTTTGAGATTTTCCAGATTTCCTCGCAATTAATTTACGTTGGATATTCACGAGAAAAAAAAATCGAAATCCGTACTCCGTAGTCGAGGTAATCATTAAAATACCATTCGCAGTTTCTGTATTGACGTAAAAAAAGTCTCGCGTAATTTGTTCCTGAATCCACGAACTTGATGGTGGTGACCATCGTGCCATTTTTTCCTTTCTTTTTATTATTTTTCATATGCACAAGTATCACAATCGCTCACGTTTCACGCTCGTCTACGAATATATCATGTATATACGTGTGCTTTTTTCGTTCTTACTTTGTTGTTGCGTTCGCCGAGAGGCGATCTTAGCCAAACGCAATTATCTCATTTACGTCTCGAAATATCGCTCTAGAACGATATGTTTTGCTGCTCTAACGAATTGAAAGATCCATAATTCTTATTCTGGAATGTCGTTTTTGTCAAGAGATACAACGCACTCCAGAGACTTTTAATTTTTTACAATATTTATCAACGCTAATATAGTTTGGATATAAGAAAGAATAATTAATCTACCAAATCTTAATCTAATCAAAGTTTTATTTGATAAATTTTGTTATAAAATATATTGAATAAATTATACACATTTTTTTCTCTATATATAAATATTATATAAGATTATTATATAAATGTTAATATATAAAAATATATCGAATTAATTGTATATTTAAGTAAAAAATATTATATTAAAAATATTAAACTCCTATATAAAATACGATTGAATAAATGATTTCAATATTAAAATTTAACTACATTCCAGAACGGTTCTTTCGAAATTCGAGCTAGCAGATTCGATCTAGATGGATATTAACTGTGAACCGCAACCCCCTGATTCGAGGCTAGTTTAAAAAGACCCTTCCGGTCCTACGCTTAAAAGTATTAAAGTTAGATATTATAAACTGCAACCTATAAGCTGATCCCATGTTATTTCTTGGTCACAACCTCGTTGAAATCTTTTCCCATATCATTTTGCTCACGGATCACTCTTGAAGATTCTCGACGAGAACTCGAAGCTCGAAGAATTATTTCTTTCAGAACCTTGCGAGCTCAGATTTTCGTCGTCACGTTCAATCATGTCGTCGTCGATCTATACCCGATATGAATCACTTAATTTCACAACCTGTAATCATTTCCTTAGCTTTTTAGTGCAAACAAAAATCAGTTCTCGATTGCAATAAAAATCGTTAAAGTCTCTTTAGTTTGCGAAGTCAAGCGGTTCAGGCGATATCTCGGTCCTGCAAATCGACGAGGATGTCGACGATGACGTTACGAATCTTTCCATCCCGGGCGGACGCACACGTCGTAGCCGCAAAATTCTCTAATGATTTTCCTTCCGAAATCTCTCATCAGTCTAATTCTATGGCCCCTTTCTCTTCCCTCGGAGGGCACCATTATCTTTAATGTCGCGCAAGAGGCGAACCGTTAATAAATTCCGAAAATTCTCCTCCGTTTAAATCATCCTCAAAGTCCTCGTTTTCGGAGGAATCGGGCGGAATGGACCCTCCCGAGGTGTATCAGGGTGTACCGGAGTATACGTCTGTACTTATTGAACTCCGTCATTCGGATAATTTCCTCCTGGGAAGAAGGACTCGAAGAGAAATAAATTCCTTCGAGCGCTAAAAAAATTCTTTACGTACTTCCGATGCGTATTCTATTATTCAAAAGTACCTGTTCCGCGCGAGAGAGAGTTTTTCTATCTTAAGCGGACACGGTCTCGACCATAGACTTTTTGATAATCTCGCCAAAGTTCTCGTCGCAATCCTCGGACGTGTTCTCGGGCTGTTGTTCAGCGGCGACCTGACAGGGCTCGACGACCATCTCCGCGATCTTGCCGGTCGCACCTCCATGGCCCCCGTGAGCACCATAAGTACCGTGATGCTGCTGCGGTTCGTGCATCTCGCCGTAGTACGAGTACCTGCCGCTGAGCAGCTCCGAGAACGGCTCGAGCTTGCCCTGCATCTGCTGCACCACCGTCGTCGCGTTCATCGGCTGTACCGAATTAGTGAGATTCGTGTACTGCGCTGTACTCGTAGCCTCGTCCTGCGCGAATACCGTCGTGTCGTAGGATGAGTGTTGTTGCTGCTGCTGCTGCTGCTGCTGCTGCTGTTGCTGACCTGGTGGCGGTGGTGCCGGCACTTGATGGAGCTGCGCGCTACAATTACTCTGGAGGGCGGCGTTCGCGGCATCCTGGGTGCCTCCGTAAGGGCCGTAGTGCGCGAACGCGGTCGGATTAGGCGACGATTGGAATTGCGGCGGTGGGGGCGGCTGGAATTGCGAGACCCGCGACGTGGACGGCAGATTCGCGTACGGCGAATTCACGTAATCCTGGTACGAGGATTGCTGGAAGCTCATGCCACCGCCGGCGCCGCCCGCGCCTCCGTTTTGCGCGCCTGCCGAGAAGCTCTGGAAGGCCTGGCCCCCGAATTCGGGATGCAGCTTCCGCTGTGCCGCGACCGATTGGCTACCGTCCACCGTGTCCTCGCTCGCGTAACAATCGTCTCTAATCGCGTACAGGTCTAAACTGTCCTCCCTGGTGCCAGGCACTTCCGGCTGGCAGCCTGCCGTCACCACGCCACCCTCGTGGCCCGTCTCGTAGTGCAAGGTCGTGAATCCGCCCCCGCCCCCGGAACCCGGGATCGCGCACGCGTCGCCGCTCCTGCCGGCAATCTCCATCCCTAGGGAATCGATGTCTCTCAGAGAACCGCCGTTACCCCTGCCGCTCTGCCTCTGATTGTCCGCGACCTGATCCGTGTGCTCGCCGCCGCCTTCCTCCTCGCGTTGCTTCTTCTCCAGCTCGAGTCGCATCAGCGTGTGAATAAAGTGCGTTCGCACACGTACCGGATTAAATTCGATTCTGCCTGAGCTGTTTGCGCAACCGTCTCGCGTGCAGCCGCAAGGGAAACCTGGCCGGTCCACCTAAAAGTCGAATTCCATGAAAAATCATATATTGGTATTTAAGAGGACTCGGAAAGTGTAAAGATAATTTGAATATTATATTAAAGATTTTTAATATACTCTATACGTGTTTTTTTTAATTGATTCGATAAATTAATCGACATTTAGATGTCTTTTCGTTTAAAAATTCGTTTTTAAATATAAAGATTAATAAAGATTATTCTTGATTATTTTTAATCTACTCTTAAGCTCTTTTGAATAATGTCCTTTGTTAATTTTCATGTTGGGAAAACATCGATTCGATTTAACTTATTAATCCCCAGCTTTCTCATTGTCAGTAAAACTAATCTCAACTGAATGTGTTAATAAATGGAAAGATTGATCACCGGAGAAATGGTTTCTTATAAGAATTTTAAAAGATTAAATCTAAGTTACACATAAAATATTAATCTCAAAGCAGGAAAAATTAAATTTCCACTCCTTTAGAATTTTTAAAAAAGTAGGTCAGATCCTCCCTCTCTTCTCTATTTAATTTTTCACTTCGCATCCATTCAGGATCACAATTTCTTAAATTTTACACAGATCCGACAGGATCTGTTTTTAAAATAATCAAAATAAAAAAATAATAAAATATCAAAATAAAAAAGAATAAAGAACGACTATCGTATTCTTTAATCGCATTAAGATTCATTCTAATTGTCTCCGGCGACTTACTTGACACTTGACATTGGCTCTGCTGCAAGGACAGCTTTCAGGATCGCAATATCCTTTGCAGCCGCATCCGCAGTGCTCTCTGCTAGCCCGTATATCGCGACACTCGTCCTTCTCGACGGCATCTATCCTCCGGACTCCGGCATTCCTCAGCATCACCCGGCGCTGCCACGTCGGCACCGGTTGCAAGAAGTAGTAACTGTCGATGTCGAGCTCCTCGGTGTCGCTGGGTTCCTCGTCCGTATCGTCGCTCGGATCCTCCGAGCTCGATGCCGTCTCGGTCACGCAGCTGGTCGCGCAGTTGCGCTCCGAGCGCAGCTGCGCGAGATGCGCGCGATGGATTCGCCTCTGCTCAGCCGCGTGTTCCGACAACGAAAATCTCTCGGCGTGTGTGTGCGTGGCGCTCATGCCCAGGGTGCTGCCGCCCTAAAATGAAGAAAAATCGATTGCGGGAATTGTTGGAAATATTTTTTAATTTTTAATTTTTCAATTTCCTAAATATTTTTCCTCCTTCGATATTTTTTAACGCACTTTGCGACTGGTTTTATCTCTATTAGTGGAAAGGTTTCTTTAAGGGAATTTATTTTCTTTTATCTTTTGATAATAATAAACGCATAAATGGAACGTGACTTCAATGAAATATTAATATTAAAATATAAATAAAATAAATACACTATTAGTAATAAAATGAATAGTATCATGGTTATGTCATATCGGTGAGAAAGTCTGTTCGTTTACTTTTATACAGCTAACGGAATCCCTTATGGCTGAAATCAATAAAAGACACCATAGCACGATGCTATAAAATTTTATTATGAAGCGATAGTACACAAAAAAGTAAAATGATGTCTTATACGAATTCAATGGTGAACATTATGTTATGATTGAATGGTATTATAAATGATGTTGAAGGGGGAAATTCAAAGAGACGTCTTGCATGAAAGCGATTGGAAGAAAAAGGGAAATTGATTTTCTGATACTTTATATAAATTCGATGGTCAATATTCCCCCAATATGGTATCTTAAAATAATATTACAAATATAACAATATATTTCTTTATTATAAGAAGCTTTAAGCTTTTTGCTAATTATTTTCCTGAATACAAATAAAATCTTTCGATTTGAAAAAATGAAGAGAAGACACGCAATAAAATTGCTATTCAAGAGTTAAAGAAAACGAGAGAGAACAGTTTTAGGACTCACTTGGGAAGGTACGCAGGTGAAGCCCTGCGTCCTGGGGAAGTAATAGACTGTCACTGCATCGAACTGAATGTTGCGCTTCTTTTTCACGGGCTCATCGGGGTTGCTTCGCGACTCATCGCCCTCCATGCAGTCGGTCAACCTGCGCTTCAAATTGCTCTTGGGCGGAAGTGTCCGGAAGCTTGTTAGGGGTGCCTGGCCCGGGGTCTCAGACGTGCTCGAAGACGGCGCGAAGCCATCTAGTTGGTTCACGCCTGAAAGAAATATTTCGCGTCATGTATGAAAAATTGTATGTATATGAAATTTTGTCTCATAGTCGCCGACACGATTTTTGCACTGTATTCATCATAAAAAAAAATATCGCAACTTCTTTCCGTCTACGACGATACATGACGTGTAAATGTCGTAAAATTTCAAAAACAAAATTCTTGTCAACGACAAATTTTTCCAGGACGATAATAGTATTTTATTAATGATAAAAATATGTGTAAAATAGATTCTTACTAAAGAAATATTAATTTGAGAGTCGAATAGATCGACTGACATTTTCAACGAAAAAAATTCACATTAATTTCTTCATAAATTTTCTTCATAAATTTACGTTTTACGCTGCTTTTGGAACACCCGGTGTGTGTCGCGTGTTGACAATCGATGCAAGGCTTATCGAGTTGCGCGCTCCTCACTCGCTCGCTGGATATCTTCGACCGGCGCAACTGTGAGATTAGACTGGCAAGAAGAATTCTTGTTAAATTTAAAACTTTTGCAAGCATAAAAGCTTTCAAGAGAATTTTTAAAACGATCTCATTTTTAAGATGATTATTTCTGAATTTTTCAATCTAATGGTGACCTTTTCAATTTAAATTAAAAGATCGTAGCAATTGAAAATAATCATTTTATACAATTTTCACCGATATGGGTTTTGCAGAGAAAGACTAAATAAACAAAATATTCTCCTCATGCGAATAACAATGCAAATGCTGAATAAATAAAATTTTAGTTAACAGTTTAACAATTGAATATAATTACAGAGTAAAACAGAGAATCTTTTGTGAAAAGGAAGTAAATAAAATATTATTCATACATATACACAGAATAACAGTTCAAATACTGAATAAATAAAATACTGAATAATACTTTCAAAATTAAACGCAGAATAACATCTGATGCGGCATCTCATAATCAAATAAATTTAAAAAATAATGAATAAAAGGATACATAATACAAATCAAAATTGAATCAATTTTAAAGCGTTTGAAAACCAAATGCGAGAGTGACTGAATATGATAATTTGTATTCAATTTGTTATTCAAACGATTAATTCTAATTTAAATTAATAATTTATTAATTAAATTTTAAACATAGTTATTGAAACCAAATGATAAGAAATCTTAAAAATTTAGAAAATAAAAAAAATGTTTAAGGAAAGAAACACTTCTTACCTTTCTCCTTGTCAGAGAGGATGTCGTCCGGCAGTCTGTCAAGAAAAGAGGTCTCCGAGTCGCTTTCCGGTGCGGGTGCCGGTCCAGGATCACCGGAAATCTCATTCCCTAAACCGGAATCACTCCCATCGGATCTAACTTCGTCTCTGGCACCGGTAGCCAATGTCAGGCTCTCGGCAGAGTCCTCCGTGTATGCTTCCGGTCGTTCGGCCTCCAGTCTCGTCATGATCGGCGCCATCGTTTCCACGCAGCACAGCGGTCCTTCTTCGGAACAGGGCAGCTGATGGTCGGACGCCATGTCGACGTCGCGTAGTTCCCGGATGTTTGTCATGGGCGATATCTCCGAGCTGTCGGAGCCGGTCTCGGTTTCCGTCTCGGTGTCGACACCCTCGGCGCCGACGTCGACCGATGTTTCTTCCGGCGTCTCTCCTTCTTCCGGCGAGCTCGGCGTCGTCTCCAAGGAATCCAATTCGTTAAAAGCGCGATTATTCTCACCCGAAGGCGATGAGCTCGTCAGTACCACTTCCTCATCCTCCTCCAGCTTGCCTATCACTGCCACGGGCGCGAGTTCCTCTCTCTCGGGCCTTTTCGCTTCGAGTTCCTCGACGTGGGATTCTTCCTCTTGAGATTGTTCGAATTCACTTCTGATTCGCTCCAGCACAACTTTGCACTTTTTTAGTATCAGATTGCGATCTGGACTTTGACTATCTGTCAATTCGCACTTCTTTGATCTCGTCATCGGAGAGGAGTTAATTTGCAACCGTGGTTTTTTCGAACTTCTCTCCTTGGTTTTCGAAATCTCTGAAGACGAATCGCACTCTTCTTCAACGGAATCTCTTCTTCTTTTGGGACACGGAGAACTTCCCTCGATGTTCCAAGTATTCTCATTGATATTTTCATCTGTCAGTGTATCGTTTTTTGTGTCTCCCTCCTTGATGCGGTTCAGCACTACCGATAAATGTCGACAGGGACTTGATAGCGCTTCCTTCTTGGTCGGCGTGCAGGATGTGGTCTCGATAGTCGCAATTACATTCGTGTCCTTGATGTCATCCTGACTCGTTCTGTCTGAATTCTCTAGCCTAGAGGGAACCAAAGAAGTTATGTCAACGTCGAGCGTCTCCTCCTCATGATTTAACTTGCTGTTTGTGCAATCTGAGAGACTTGCGTTGATCTTAATGACCGTTTCTTCCTCGTCAACATCCCGCTTTTCACTTTGATCGATATCCTGAATTCCGGAATCGTTCTTTCCAAATGATTCTTGCGAGTTGGCATTATTCCGCGACGCTGTCTTGTCATCAACCTCGTCCCCGAAAAGGCAGGACTGCGACGACAGGAAAACCTCGCCCAAGGTTCGCTCTCGTAAACTCACTAACACTGGTGACAATCTTCTGACGTCGTTTCTCATTTGGGTCACCTCCTCTTCCGAGATCTCGACGCCAACCCTTCTGATCTCTGCGCCGATCGGCAGAAAATCGCCCCCGGACGATCTCTTCTTTTCGATTCTGTCCTCTTCATCTTTGTTCCAATTCTGAGAATCAGGCCCCTTCGAAGATTCTTCAGGTTCTTGAAGAGAATCTTTCGTCGATTCTACATCAATATCAACTTCAAAATTTTTCCCGCTTTCGCTAGTCTCCTTTTCCAACTTTCCAACTTTAAGTTCATTTTCTTTCTCTTCCTCCGATTTCCGGAGGCAAGGATAATCACTCAATTGTCTCTCTTGGGATTCTTGGTTTTCCAATCCTCTGTCCAGTTTCTCACAGATCGAATTTTCAACAGAATCTCGTGCGTTGTCCTCAATTTCTGTTGCTGGCGTCGTTGCTATTGTCATCGTCGCCATCGTCTTGCTTGGAGATAATAATACGCTTTTCGCTTCAGGCTCCACTGAGGTGGAATCCTCTTGGGCCTCAACGAGACAGTCCTGACGGGCCGAAGGCGATTCCATCTCGGGTGTTTCTTCCATCTGCAAACACCAAATTAAGCTCTTCTAAAAAATAACTCTTTTTTCCTCGTCAGATAATTAAATCCTCGAACAAATAACAGTGGCATTTTATACATAAATATTAAAAGATTACTAAAATAAAAATATAAAAATTATGTAAATTAAAATAAAAATTAAAATAAAAATAAAAATAATAAAATAATCAATAATTTTATTATTTATATATTATATAAATTATGCATATAAATAAATAAATGAGAAGATCTATTTAATAATATAATCAAGTATTAAAAATAATAAGAACAAAAAAATACATATTACAAATACAATAAAAACTTTGGAGAAAAGTGCTGTAAATGTTAAAATAAAATAAAAATATTAACATATATTTAAATAAAGTGAATAATAACAATGTAAATTTAAGACGCTAAAATAACGTACATAAAATAGAGATTAATTGGGTCGTTACGTTCACCGTGGAAACCACGGTTTCTTGTCCCTATCTTTCTTCTGGAACATAAGTGATTTCACCGTTATTATAATCAACGATCATCGCGCTCTACCATTTCCACGAAAATAACATAAGCAAGCAGGAGAGAGAGAATGGAGAAATCAATAATCCGCGCACTGATATCGCGCACCGTTGCTAGACCCAGAAGAGAACGACAGCGAAACAGAAAGGTAGAGAGGCAAACTACATCGATACGAAAAGAAAAATCAATTTCCAAAATCTTGGTCCTCGATACATTTTTCTTTTCATCTTTAAATATATACAAGATACTACAGGAGAGCCTACATATAATCTTGGTCGGAGATTATTGATTCAAAGCCGGCCGGTATGGAGGAGAAAGAGGGGGAGACGAAGGGGGGCAGCGATACTCTAACCCCACGATGGACCCCTATCAGAGCGAAGCTTTTACCTTGAAGTTGCACGATCTTTCCTCCAGCTTGGTCCAATTCTCACTCCTCGACTTCGATAAGCCGCAATCTTCGAGGGCCCGATCTGAGCTGCGGTCTCAGGGGACCTTAAGTCGTATCGCGACTCCGGCTGCCATCCTCCTGTTCTCGATGATGAGCCGCGAAACGCCGGCGATAGGTATTTCTCAACGCAGGATCAAGTGTGTCCTTGAGCGAGGAGGACAACGAGTCGCTCGACGACATTCGCGAGAAGCAAGCGAGCGATCCCAAGGACACGTCCGACCGAGAAAGAGAGAGGGATCTACCGGCGTACCGGCTTTCCCATGGAAAACGCACAGAACTAAGATTCGTCCGACATACGACTGGGATGATTTCGAGATCGATAGATCCTCGTCGAAAACGAGAAATTAAAAATACAGAGACTTGGACGTTGAGCTCGAAGAGGAAATTAACTTGAGGTAAACCAACGTGAACGTGGAGAAACAAAACTTTCTATCCGGAAGTAGAAGATCTCAGTCTGTTGACGAGCTAAGGAAGCGACTGACGCTGTTCCGGAAATGACGAAGAGGTCTACGATGAGGAGACACAAGACGAAGAGTATATCAGAGGAGCCGAATAGTAAATGTGATGGTCGTGGGAGATCGACCAGGTTGCGTGCGGCGCGTTTGACAGCTCGGAGCAGAGTGAACGGAGGCGGCGTCGGCGTCGCGCGGCGTCGTCGATGACGCCGAGCGACGCCGACGCCGCGATCTCGGATCCGCTCGAATCGACTCGACTCGGCTCGACTCGTCTCGTCGACTCGTACGTGTTGGTGGATCCATAATAAACGATACACACATATACATAATGTGCCGCGCAAAAGAATGCAGCGATTCTCAGAGCACACCCGGTAGATCATCGGGATTAGTCATCGGGGTGCGGGAACATCTCTTTGCTCTTCCATGTTTTTATGATATTTTAATTTCGTCGCATTGCGCTTTCCTTTTTATTTTAATTAAATTTGATTCTTTGTAGGGAAAGATAAAACAATGATCTTTTTTTCCCTGAAACGGTGCTCCCGTTTGAAAAGGATGATACTTTGTATTGTATTTCATAATGCGTGGAATAGCGTTTTATTTTTTAATATAAAGTAAATATCTTAACTGCATTATTCTCGACTACGACGCTGAGATGTGTACGTTGCAGATTGGCTATATTACAGTGATGACGATGATCATTCTAATTATGTCAATGATGTGATGATGCGGTGATGCATCGACGAGAACAAATAAAGTTTATTCACGAAGAAATTGCATAGAATATATAACAATCTATAATCCATTAATTGCAATAATCTGATATTAACAAAATGAATCAACAAACTTAATAACAGAAATGCATTGTTTAAACTAAAGTAAATAATCATCTACAATAATTTAGAATCAACAAGAGAAGTCTAATGATATTTAAAATAAATAATGTATTAATAAATAAATAATATAGTTAAATAAATATTTATATAAATAATATATTTCATATATAAATATAATTAATATAATTAAATAATATAAAAAACAAATAAATGTATGCGTTTTGAAATATATTTTTGTATCATAGATATTTAACTAAAACTTTTTACTTTTTACTTTTAAAATTTTTCCAAAATATAATGTTTGTGGAATAAAATAAAATATATTTAAAATATAAATACTTAATATATGATAATCTCATATAGATTCCTATATAAATAATTAATTATAGAATATAATTTCAATCAAAAGATATCGCAAATCTTAGAAATGTTTACTACTACTATTACTACTATTTTCAAAACTTTCTTATAAAGACAATTATCAAAGATAAAAGAAGACAAAATCTGAATCGCATATTGACTGTCCACGATAATGATTCACAGCAATAAATCGACTGATCTAAGTGAGATGATGACGCAAACGTTATTCAGGGGTGATGCTATTATTTTATCAATTCAAACACATGATATTCGTTATCGATCGGAGACTTCGAGATTTAGTCTGCGTAGTTCAGCTTCGAGAAGAATGTGCAAGTTGGTCCCGGGCCAACTTGATCGCGATCGATTAGTGTACTCTTCAAGGATAGCGATAGCTATCCTCTTCGAAACAGTATGCTAGAGAGAAAATGTGTAATAAATGCAACGTATGGAGGATAGACCAACGTTCTCTCGTTGAAGATTGGATGATGTAAAATTGACTTGAGATTAATTGAAAAACAATATTTCATCTTGGGGAATAAATAGACATTACTACTACTACTACTACTACTACTACTACGACTACTACTACTACTATTATTATTACTCTTCTTGAGAATATTTCTAGATTCTAAATAATACCGGTACCGGAATTGACAAGGTATTGTGACGCTTGTCTTTCTTTCTCCATCTGTCTCTTTCTCTTTAATCTATATTTTTCCTTTTTGTCCAACGCATAGTCGCACATGTACACATACGTATGTGTACGTTTGAGCGGTTCTCTCACCAACGGTTCAACGAACGAAAGAGCGCAGCGCTTGCGCGCGACAAGCGCCGTAATTGTCGCTACGCTGTGCGATACTAGAAGGAGAGTAGAGTTCCTTCCCTTAGAATTTTAACAGAGGACAGGATCTCCCTAAAGAGACAACAGTTCCATGTCTCATCTTCGACGAAAATGAAGAATTTTGGTGTAACACCTATAGTCAAAGGTTAGCAGGGATTATTGATCGGCGTTCGCGCGGGTATTGATCCGCTCTGTTGCTGCAAAGTTACTCCGATGCTAAATGCGTGTGACTGTTTAACGTTGAATTTACTGACATTCAATTTCGCTCAACACGTTAAATCGGTGAAATATGCATTTTTCTTTTAAATAACGAGAATCGGATAGCATGTAAAGGGCTTGGAAGGTTTCTCTTGGAATTTTAAGCAGCTCGAAGATATGATATCTTGAGATATAGATTGGTCCATTGTTTTTGTCTTTGAAAAGATAATAAAAGAATTTGAATAAATAACGTAGGGAATTTTTTTAAGATTGCTGAGTCGTTATTAATATGGAGTCATTTTCGACGCGTTTACATCTAAATGATTATCTTATTCTGAATTTAATTATTTGATGCAAAAGGTGCGTTTAAGGACAAAAGGATAAGAATCGAATAACAGCTGCGGAATTAAAAGAAGCATATCTTAAGATATGCTAAATTTCCAGGAGAAATTTAGCATATAAAAATTTCCAGTATTTTTGTAAAAATAATAAATCTTAATATATATTACAAAGTAGAGAATTTGTGCCATTATTGATTGGCATGAGTATTGATTTGCCATAAGCGTAAAGTTAAGCTGTGATAGATTTTAGAAGCTAAATGTGACCATCTAATTTTGAGTTTCATTTTATTGGACGTACATATGTGAAAGATATATTCAATTTACAGGATGACAAGGACTAAATAATAGAAAGTAGAAAAAATCCTGCCTTTTCCTCGAATTTTCACGCAGCTATTTCAAAAATAGAATACACATTCAGAGCACGTTTGTGCGGCAATAAAAAAATCATGGAAGAGAATTTAATGGAGGAAACATAAAAAATATCTCGCTACTTTTGCATCTTCGAGTAACCGCGTTTAGAAATAAATCGCGTTGAGGAGACTAGTCGTTGGTAACTTGACGCTTCATCTAATTGAATTGAATAGAACGAGCAGTCACGATGTATACTTGGTAGAACGCTATTCGGCTCTGCTTCTGTTTATCTCCCGCACACCATCTTGCAGCGCCGTCTTGGCTGCCCAATATTAATTGCTTTCTATTTAAAGACAATCAAGAGCGCAGAATTGAAATCGTGCGCGATCGTGATCTCTCTCTTTCTCTCTTTCTCTCTTTTAGCGTATTGCATTAATTTACACTTGTGTAGAATCACGTTCGTGTGATGCTATCTTTCGAGATTTTTCATCACTTGCCACAGTATTATAAAACGCTATCGCATCTATCCGCTCTAAATTGTTACGCTAATATATTAATAAATTTATAATAATTAATTTGAAATAATTAATATATTATTAATAGCATCGTATATATATAAATTAATTTTAAAAAATTTGAAATAATCAAGATCATTAGTTTTAAAATAAAAATAAAGTTCTTTCAAGAAATGAAATTTAAAATAAAATTTTCTTTAAATGTGACATAATAAATTATTTAATGTATAATTTAATATATTATTAAATTATTATATATTAATTTATTATATATAAATTATTATATATTAATTTAATATGTTATTCAATACATAATTTAGTTAAATATGTGAAATATAATAATTTATTTAAGTGATATTACAAAAGTTATTTTATTATATATAATAATATTATATTTATTATATTTAACTTGTAAATAATTTAATATAATTTAATAATATAATTTAAATTTTGTAAATAAAAATAGTTATTTAAAAATTTAGACTGTTGCGAAATAAGGAATAACTTGACGTAATCCTGATACATCATATTGGTAAAAGGATATTGGTAACATAAAAAAAACTTGGTTTTCATATTCTTGAAACGTAAGACATTCGAAAGCCATTACTTTTCCAGATTCGAATCGATCGATCGATTTTCCAGAAAGAATTTGAATTTTTGATGCTCTCTAAAATTCGATCGTAACCACGTTCGATCATCATCTAATGTTATACTAACACGTTTATGTCGCTCTTGTTCCCGGAATCTTCCGCAAGAGAGAAAGGGGATGGGAAGAGGGCCAGTCCGGAGATGCCGAAGATGGGGAGGGTGGTACATTCCATAGCTTCCAGGGAGGCCACCAGAAGCGGAGGTGGCTCCGTATTATGTCCCGTTCCCTCGCTCTTATTATGCCAAAGCAACCCACACTGTTTTGTGTGCATGTATTTCTCCGTGTGTTAGTAAGGCCCACATATTGCCGGTTGTTCGTTACTCTCCTTCGTTGTGAACACCAACTGGCTGGCTGGCACGCGGCGCGCACGACGTGTATATTGTACTACTACAGGGTGTTCCGACAGAAATCTGTTGGATCCCGAGAAATCCGTAATGGAATAAATAGATTATACAAATTATTTTTTCACTTCTATAATTTTATTTGTTTAATTTAATTTAATTTAATTTAATTTTTTAAATTTAAAACCCACTTATATTTACAATGTTTTTCTAAAGAAAAATCAATATCGAATAAAAAATTTTTAAATGAAAGAAACTAGAGAAAAATGATTCTTCATTTGTATACTTGATCAAGTAATAAATGTTAATTTGACAAGACATTACTCATAATTCCTAATAAAGAAAGAGAAGAGTTTAAAAAATATAGATAAATAGACAAGAAAATTTTTTTTAATTGTGTGGAAGAAGATATGTTGGACATTGAAAATAATAACATAAAAAAAAAAATTATTTAATGGAGAACGGAGTATAAAATAAAGATGCATTAATTCTGTTTGTCAAATTTTTCAATTCAATTTGTAAGAGACGACTCTATTAAAAGTTAAAAAGAAGTATCTCTCAAAAGTGTTCGAGAGATTTCAGACTCGCGAATTTAAAAACTCTATCTTCCTCTCTTATAGAGATTCCGTCCTCTCAGAAAAAACCTGAGAACGAAAACATACACACGGTGCATATAAAAAGATAATGCATTAAGAACGCATGCGGAAGAGGAGGAGCGAAACAT